CACAAGAAGACGTTTAAGGTCCTTGTTCCGCCACTGACTTCTTATATTGTTTTAATTGTTTTATGTTTCCACTTCTAGACTGAGTCCCCCCAAAGTAGGAACCTGGCCTTGGGGATCAAATTAGTGCTCAGCGTCTGGCCACACACCCGATATGTCTGACATGGCTGTTGGGAAGTTAGGGCGGCCTGGGAAGGGGCTGATACTCAGCTGCCCCCGGACAAGCCTCTCCAGGTGGGTCGGGCCCAGGGCCTGGCCACCGCCAAAACTCCTTTCATCTGTGTTAGCTCAACAAAGGCCTTCCACTAGCCTAACTCACAGGTGAGTAAAGTGAGGCTCACGGACGCCAGAGGAATTTTTCAGGGCTGTAGCTGACCTGGGCTAGATCTGGGCACGCTTCCAGCCCTTTTTTTCCTCAGAGAAAAAAACACGGAGCCCTTCACGAATGTGCGTGGCCAGTCCAGTCCGCATCATCCCAGTCTTGGCCTCTGTGCCCCGCCGGGGCCAGCTCACTCCTGCCCTCTCGGCCGGCGGGAGCCCTGGCCGCGACCCCCGGCAGCTCGACCCCGCCTCTCGCCACTGCGCCTATTTAGCCACGAGGGGGAGCCAGACGTTCGTTGGCGCGGTGGCGGGGCCCAGCCTGAGGTGGGGGTGTCGGCCGCTCCTTGGGAAGGCCCTCGCGGCCCGCACCCCCCGCCCCGCGCGGAGCTGGAGAGCCCCGGTGTGGAAAACGTGTGTGGTTGCAAGAGGGCCGCGGCGCGGGCGGCAGGCCGGCGGCAGGAGAGGGAAGGCGCTCGCGGCCCGCTGCCGGCGCTGCCCCTTCTGGCGCAGCCGGGGCTGGGCAGGGCTGGAGAAAGGGAGGGCTGCTCCCCTGCGCTGGCCCCCGCCTCCGCCTCTGTTCTCCCCAGTCTCGCTCAGAAACAGACCGGACATTCCTAAGTCTCCGGCGGGAAACCAGGAAATGGATCGGGGCGGGAGGGGGGGGCGTAGTCTCCCCGCAGCCTGGGTCAGTTCTTCCACAGCCCGCCCCGCCCGGCGCTTCCTGGAAGAGCCGCGCCGGGGGCCCCGGCCCTCGCCCGCCCCCCACTACTGCAGCCCTCCCGGCTCCTTCCTCCCGGGCTGTGGGATCAGACCCACCCCCTCGGCCGCTAGGCCAGGACGCGGCATTCTTTGTTTGAAGATTTGTCTATTTATGCGAACAGAACTGGGTACAGACCAGGGGTGAGGTGCAGGGCGGCGAGAGGCTTCACCAGAGGCAAAGCGGGGAGCAGAACAGGCAGATCGAGGAAGTACACTGCTGCGGGGAGCAGCGGGCCAGACAGGAGAGGTCTGCAGCCCGGCCGGCCCGTATGGGTATGGGTCAGCGCCGTGCGGGGGATGGAACTCATGCTGAAAGGACTGGGGCTGGCCTCAGCACCGTGCTCCAGCCCTTTGCGCCACCAGGGCGGGCCCTACTCGGCATTGTTATCCTCAGACTTCTAGGGTGCCCTGGCCCCTGAAACCTGGCTCTCTTCCAGAGCTCCCCCTCTCAGTAAATAGACCACTGTCCTTCTGGATATTTGACCCAGAAAACTTATTGACGCCTTCCCCCGCCCCCAACATGTCCAATCCAGCCTTTCTCCTCCCGGCTGGCTGCAAGCTGGCTGGACCTAGCAGTGCCCATCCGCTCCCCAGAAGAGATCTTCTTCCTCTCACAGCTCAGTCCCTTTTCCGGGTGGAAGCCCTGGAAATAGTTTCAAACCATCAGTCTGATCATGTTAACCACCTGCTGAAATCTTTCCACAGGGTCTCAGCACTTCTAAGACCCATCCCAGCCTCGCCTACCGGCCCTGTGTGGAATACCCTACCTCCCTCTCTAGCCAGCCTCCAAGTTCCAGCCACAGCCACATCACGGGACGACAGGGCTATGTGGTGAGGCACGTCCATTAGGCAGTTCTGTTTCTGTGCACCTCCTGGTGTGTGATCGCGCAAAGCTGGACTGTACTGCTTACTGCACACCGAGCAGTGTGGTAGAGCTTATTGGGGCACTGCCCTAAATGCCCCATCGTGAACTCACAGGTGGTCTCTCTGCCCGGAGTCCCACGTTTGCCTTAACTCTGTTTCTTCAGATCTCAGCTCCAGCTCTGCTTTCTCAGGGACATAAGCTGACTTCCCTGACCAAATCAGATTCTCCTTATTTACTCTTCTAGCACCACATACTTCTTCATATTTGTCAGTTATAATTGTCCATGTGTTCATAATATTATTTAATTAATGTCTAGTTCTGCTGCTAGCTTGTAAGCTCCATGCGGGCTAGGACCATTTCAATTTTTGTTCACTTGAAAATCTGCAGCAGCTACATACCTGGCGCATAGTAGGTACTCAGTGTTTCTTGACTAAATAGGCAAATTAAATTTGCCCACTTTTCTCCTTCTATTTCCTGAACTCTTTTCTGAACCTCAGCAATCACTGTAATGGGTCTTCAGGTCTATATCCACCAGAGTGGGCTAATAAAATGCCAACCTGACCATGTTACCCTTCCCAACCCTTTAAATAGCCTTCATTAGTGACTTTCTGTAGCCCTGGAAATAAAATCCAGACTCCTACCCACAGTCTTACAAGGCCTTGCATGGTCTGGCTCTTCTCAGGCAAGCTCCACCTCCTCAACAGACCTTCCCTAACTCAACAAATAGAGCGTCTATTGTATCAAGCGTAGGGTTCCGTGGAGAGCAGAAACAGACTCCTTCAGATCTGTTTACAGTGCTGCAGACTCAAACACCTCCTTTTCACGAAGGGCCCTTGCACATGCTTTCCCTCATCTGGAAAGTGCTCCTCCTCTTTGTGCTCCTGAATTTGTGCAGCCAACACAGACCCATCAGATATTCAGGTATCTGACTCCCAACCTAGGATCCTGTGAAAGGCTCTTATTGCTCTCTCTATGCTACCTTCATAGCACTGGCCACTCTTCTAATTTTGTTATTTCTTTGCAAGTTATTCAGCTAACACCTAGCTTTCCCACTAAGAAGCTCTAGGAACTTCTACATCTGTTTTTTGAGTGATTCCCCTGTAAGACTATTCCAGAGATGGGCCTCCCTGGTGGTACAGGGGTTGAGTCTCGGCATCATGAAGTAATGGGCATTGCAGCACAAATCTGACCCCCCGCCAGGGAGCTGCCCACATGGCGCAGCAGACCTCTCCTGTCTTGCCTGCTGCTCCCCTCAGCAGTGTTTCAGTAGATTTGCCTGTTTTGCTCCCCTCCTCTGTCTCTGGTGAATCCTCTCACCCTCCCCCATCCCGCCACACCTCTGGCCTGTACCCCAGCTCTTATCTGCATAAATAAAAATAAATCTTAAAAAAAGAAAAAATCCAAGGATACTGCCTCAGGAAATTGTTGGTGCCTCTGTGTTATAAACTGGGGCTGCATGGGTGTATGAAGGGGCTCCCACCAAGGAGAGGCCTGGAAGCTGTTCTCTTCCCTGCCCCTCTTCATCCTCATCACACCGCTTGACGCCACCTCACCCATCCCACCTGGCTCTCCGTTTGCTCATGCGCCCCAGCCCCAGCGACACCGCTCCTCCCCACTTAAAAGGCACCTGCAGCTCTTCTTCCTGCTTTTTCTTCTTTTTCCCTGCTCTTTGTCACTGGTCAGCTCCTCTTCAGGTCATGCTTAAACGCTGCTTCTTTGGAGGATATGCTTCTCTGAGCCGGTTTCCTGGTGACTAGCCATCCAGCTCGTTTCCTTCGTTGTAGCTCTCAGCAGATTTGTATTTGTCTGTCTTCTGTGTCCCTAGATGAGCTAGAAGCTTTTGGCCACACATCACACAAAATCTGGCTTCCCTGGCTTTAGTAGAAGGAAACTCCTCTAGAAAGGTAGGTGGGTTTGAGGGCTGGCTATTTCAGTGATGTTGTCAGGGCTGTGACGCGGGCTCTGTGCTCAGGGGGGCTAGCAGGCCGATGCAGCCTTTCCTGGCCTCAGATCACACCTGCAGGGTTTTCTCCTTGCTACAGCTCAACTAACTACTGCTATGTAACAAATCATCACAAAACTTACTAGCTTAAAACAACATTTATTATCTCACAGTTTCAGAGGATTAGAAACCCAGGAGTGGCTTAGCTGGCTGGTTCTCATGAGGTGACAGTCAAACTACTGACCAGGGCTGAAGGCTGAGCTGGGGCCAGAGGACCCACTTCCAAGCTTATTCATGCGGCCGCTGGCAGAAAGCTTTAGTCCCATGCCACATGGGCCTCTCCGTCAAGCCCCAACCACTGCCTTCCCCCAGAGGGGTGACCCAAAAGGGAACACAATCAAGACAGGCGCCTGATGTCTTTTCCCAGACAGATGTGACACTATCACTCCTGCTGTGCTCTGCTGGCCACTCAGTCCAGCCCCAGTACGTCATGGGACCCAGGAGGAACACTAGGAAGCAGGGGCACTGGGAGATCATCTTAGAGGTTGGTTCCTCCTTTTTCAGTGAGGAAACCTCTCTTTGAAACATCAGGTGTTTTCCGTACCTCTGTTGGCTGGAATTGTGTCTGTCACACTTCCATACCTACACCGGTCAGTCATGAGGGGTTTGGAATAATCATTTTTATTTTGATCATTTTTGGCTCATTACTATCAGGATTCACCCCTGGGATTAGGATTCACATCTGCTGACGCACAGGAAGGGATCTAGAAGGAAGAAGGCCCCCTGAACAAAATCAGGGTTCTGTCTGGAATGAGGAAGGGCGACGGGAACAGATGCCGAGTAGTAAAGTCCCAGTGTCTATAATGCTTATGCCAACTCCATGCGACCTGGGGCTGCCTCTTCTCCATCCCCAGCATGGAGCCCGTTGCCTGGTACTCACAGGGCAGCTGGGACCATATTTGTCATGACAAGATGAAGACCACATGGGGTTCAGGGGTTTAAGACTGCTTCTAGGTAGGGGCAGATATCCCCAGGGCCTGGCTCCTTAGGGTCTTCTTAGAAATCAGGAGGCCACCTGCTGCCACCCCCACCGCCAGCCCCAAGGATAGACAGGACTGGCAGAATTATTCTCACTTTATTTCTGGAGACGTTTGATCAGATGCAGTAACACTGATTCCAGGCGAGGGCGGGAGGCACAGATACCCCTAAAGCAACCAGTATCCTGTGGCCCAAGGTGCCCCCCACCCCCAAACCCTGGCTCCCCCTCGGTAACAGTTAAATAGAGAGAGGAAGATCTCCCCAGGGAGTCTTGGGAGGGTCTGCCTCCTGCACCCACCCCCTCCAAGCAGAGGAGTCTGAGCACAAGCTATTTACAGTATTCACATCCACTGTACCCACCAAATCAAGGCAATACTACAGGCGGCCCTTCCCCAGGGGGAGGCCAGAGAGGCTGTGAGTGTATGTGTGTGTGGGGGTCCGCGCGTGTGAGCACACGAATGCACTGAGGGGCAGGAGCTGGCTCCAGCCAGAGACATCAGTCTATAAGGTGCAGATTAAAAACAACAGAGAGGACCCACCCCAGGGGCCCAGGCCACTTCCGGCTTGTTTCTGTCTCTTTCTCTTCCAGACATCCTGGCAGACGATGCAGAGGAGCCCTCATAGCTGCGCCTGGAGCCAAGGCCGCCCCTCAAAGGACTTCTGGGAGAGAGCAGGAGGGGAAAGTCAGGGCAAACCAGGCTTCACACCCACCTGCCTGGGGCCTTCCAGGGGGTGTGAGAAGGCCTCTGCAGAGCTGGAAAAAGAGCTTGGGGCTGGGCTTCCCTCCCTCTGCTGGGAGTGAAGGCCGTGGTGCAGGAGTCAGGATCCCTACCTGTGACCTGAGGGGGCTGCACGACAGCTTTCTTGAGGAAGGCTTCTGCCTCTGCGAAGGGCAGGAGTGTCTCCGGTGTTCGACCCAGACTTTTGTCCCCAGAGGGTCCCTTAGGAGAGAAGCCATTCTCCTGATGGGCTGGGAGAGGCTGCAGGCCATTCACCAGGGACCCTGGCGACTCCTTGCTCGGCAGGCTGTGGATACAGGCTGAGGCTCAGGCACCTCCTATGGCAGGACAGCCCCGGTGTGCCACCACGCCAGTCTGAACTGCTCAGTCCCCCTGGGGCTGGGAGCTGGTACCTCCACTGAGGCTCCTGGGGGGCCAGCTCCTCTTTCTGCACAGCCTCCTTCTGCTGCCCTGAGGGCCGAGTCTCCTCTGCTTTTTCAGGGTCTGTCACAGGGAAGAAATGGCCAACAGTTATGGGCTGGAGAGAAGGGAGGCTTGAGGGCGGATGGCACGGGATGGAGATGAGAGGCACAGGGCCTTTACCTGGACTGGAGTTGTTGGCTTTTGCCTCCTTTCTGTCCTGCTTCTGCTTTGAAGAGGAACAGCAGTTAGACCAAAGTGGTATCTGGCCCCACCTCTTGAGGTGCAGACACGGCTTTCCCCTCTCCGACTCAGAGCAGCCCTCACCCATCGCCCCTGTCCACCCTGGATACTTTCCCTCCCGCACCCAACTCGACTCCCAACACTGCCCTTATGGGAACCCTGACCTTGGTTTCAGCACCTTCAGACTTCCGAGTCCTCTTCATTATCTCCTCAAGCCGCTGTTTGGAGGCCGCACAACAGTTAGATCCAAATGCAGCCCAGCCCTAAAGCTCCCCTCAGCCAGCCCGGTCCTAGGGTCTCAGGCCCCTTCCAGGTGAGAAATCAGAACGCGCCCCAAATCCTTCTAGCCCTGCCCTCTAGGTGCTGGGCCATTCCCGGCCCATTAGACCGCGAGCCGCCCCGCCCCGCCCCGCCCACCGCCCTGCCCACCTTCCGGCGCTCCTGCCGCTCCTGCTCCTCCCGCTGGAAGTGCTTTTCGCGCTCCACACGCTGCCGCTCGGCTTCTTCCCGGGACCGGGCCTCGGACTCCTCTTTCTGCCAAAGACCCTGGTAAGCCGCAGGCTGCTGGGTGCCAGCCTTCCCTCCCGGGCCAGCCCCCGGCCCGCCACCAGGAGGCGCCCGCCCGCCCGCCCGCCCGCGCGCACCTGCTTTTGCAGGCGCTCCTGCTCCTCCTGCTCCGCCTGCGCCTTCTCTTGGGCCTCCTGCTCCTCCCGCCTCCGGGCCTCGGCCTCCCGCTCCGCCCGGGCCTCAGCCTCCCGCACCAGTTGCTCCTCTCGCAGTTGCCTGGGGAAAGAGGAGACGCTGGACTTCTTCTCCAGTTCCCATAAAGCCCCCTCAGTTCCCCGGGGTGCAACTCACTTATCTCTTTCAGCCTGCAGCCTCCTCTCCTGTTCCTGGCGCTCCCGCTGCTCCCGAGCCTGGCGCCGCTTCTCAGCCAGTAGCCGAGTGGCCTCTTCTCGGTCGGTGGTGCCTGCCATGGGTTTGCTAGGGGCCGCAGGGGGAGCGGGGGCTGGGGGTGAGGTCGGGACAGCAGTATCTGGAGTGGGATCCACAGTCAGGAGTTAGCACACACCTGCACAAGCACGGCAGTGCCCTCTTCCTGGACTTCAGGACCACCCACCCTGCCATCCCCTGATGTGGTGAGCAACTCTGGCCTGTGTTCTCTGCCTGGACCTGCGAGGGCAGGAGGCTCCTCTTAGTGTCTCCCAACACCCAGCCCCAAGCATCTCTGGTGCCCTACACCTCAGAATTACTTCCCCCACACAGACAAGGCTGGCTCCTCTCACCCTGCCCACCTTTCAGCTGCTGCTTTTCATGCCCGCCTGCAGGGATCTCAGCTGTGGGCTGCTCCTTCTGGGGCAGGGCCGGAGTGGGTGAGGGCACAGGCGAGGGTGCTGGTGAGGCCGAGGCTGCTGGCTCCTTCCCACTGCTGGCCTTGCCTTTGCTCTGGTTCTTGTCCTCCGGCCCTGCTGCACTGGGGCTCTCCTTTACTTCATCCTTCCTCTTAACCCGCCCCTTGGGTGATGCAGTGGTTCCTCTGGGGGACGGTGGCTTGGGGGGCAGAGTGTGGCCTGGCCCTGGGCTGGGGCAGGGAGAAGCAGGCCTGTGCCAGGATGTGGAAGGAGAGGATGGCCTGGCCTTGGATTTGGGGCTGAAAGAAAAGGGAGGGATTAGGCCTTGTGGGCAGTGAGTGTCCACTCACACACAGACACAGTGAGCAAGTCCCTTCCTCAGGCCAATGCACTCCCCACCCAGGTTAGGACGCATCTCCCATCTTAGATGCTCTCACAGACGCATACTGTCCCAGTTTGTAATTATATGTTAATTTGTGATTCCCTGATTAACATCTGTTTCCCTAATAGCCAGCAAGATTACTAAGAGCAAGAACTAGGCCAGGTTGGGCTTACTGAGGTGCTCTCAGCATCCAGAAACTGCCTGGCAGATCCACTCATTCACTCAGCAGATGTTTACTTGTTAAGTGCGTACCAGATGCCAGGCACTGCTCTAGATGTTAGGATGCATAAGTGATCAAAACACAAAAAACCTGCCGTTGCGGAGCTTTTATTCTAAAGGTGGGAGCCCCAGGTGCATCTGGGCGCCACGGACAGAATGCAGCCCGAGGACGCCAGGCCACGCCCACAGCCCCCGGCTCACCTGAGCTCCGAGGCCGGCCCAGACGAGAGGCGGGGGCGGGGGGAGGCGGGCAGCGACTGGCGCTTCTTGAGGCTGCGCTCCCGAGCCAGGGCGCTCTTCTCCTTTTCGTTTTCCCGCTCCTTGTCCTTCTTCTCCTTTTTCTGCCCCTGACAAGGATGGGGAGAGAGAGCAGAAAGGAAGGAGGGAGAGAGGTCAGCGCGTCCGTGTACCCCTGGCCGGGAGGCTCTCACCTCACCAGGGGGGCCTCTTACCGGCGAGGCCTCTGGCCGGCGGCGAGCCAAAACCGGGCTGCCCCCCGCGCTGGGCTTGCGGCGCTCCCCAGCGGGAGCGCAGCGGTGTGCGCTTCGCGGGGCGCTGCATGATGTCAGGGGGCTGGCGGAGGCTGAGCGTGGGCACACCGGCACTGCTGCGGAGGGATGAGTGCGGTCGGGGCGTGGCCCACGGGCGAGGCTGGCCCCTGCCCGGCCCCTCGTGGAGGCTCTCCCAGGGCCGCCGCCCCTACCCTGGTCCCGGCCATTTCGGGGCAGTGTAACCGCACTGCGACTCCGTGCCAGGAAGGACAGGGTGGGCGTCATCAGTCGGTCCACAATGCTGCTCTCCCACGCGCTCAGCTGCAGGCTGCGATCTAGGGGAGAATGCCCATAGAAGCCGGTCACCATCATCGCAGGGGGCCGCAGCAGGCAGGCACAAGGGGACACAGAGGTACCATCCTGTGCCTGGTCCAGGTCTCTCCCTGGAGGTCTCGCTCCCTCTCACGCAATGGCCACACCTGTCTGTCCTGGGGTCTGACCTCCAGGGTAGACCCAGAGAGACATTTCCCGGGCAACCTCCTACATGGCTTGCTTGAGAAGCCTTTGCCCCTCCTACATGAAGGGGCTCTGAACTGAGTGTAGAAAGGAGCCACCCAGCCACTCCCCTGTCCCGCTGCAGGCTCCTGCTCTTAGAGGCATGCCCTCCAGGGGTCTGGGTCTGTGAGGGTCCTTGTGCTGCTCTGACTCTGGGGAGGCCCAACTTTTGGGTATCTGGTGCCAGGAACAGGTTGCTAGGGGGCCTGGCTGCCCTGAGCCACCCTGCTCTGTCCCCTCAGCTGCTGGGTTATTTTTAAGCCTCAGTCAGGTGGGGTTAGTATAGCAGCTGATTTGGTTGCTAGGCAACAGAGCAACCAAATAAAAGCTGGAGAAACTTATAAATAACTCCTACCACTGAGCTCATTTATGAACACCAGGGCATGGTGGGAATGCAGGGGCCGTGCCATCCTGGCCACAACACTGGAGCCAGCCAGGGCCATGGCTGGGGCTCTGAAGACAGAGAAGGCAGGGTTGCATGGGCCCTTCAGGGTGGAGTCAGGATAAGGCACCCCTCCACATGCATGGCACCCAGGCCACTTGCCTAAGGCTGGCCTAGGACACGGCTGACTGTGGTTGGAGATGAGGCTGCCTGCCCATTCCCTTCCCCACCCACAGCCCCACCTGCTCTTGAGGCCCCTGCCAGGCTCTCTGCCTGCTGGGACACTGCCCTTTGTCTCTGTACTCCCCTGGAGGGTACACCTCTGTCCTCAGGATCCAGATCCAAATGCCGGCTCCCCCAAGGGGCACAGAGCCCCAGGTGGGTAGAGTGAGATGGAGACCTGGAGTATATTAGGCTCCAGGGACCTTGGGTTCTTGCAGAGCTCTGGAGGAAGCTTGGTGGGGAGCTACTAGAAGCTCTAGAGGGAGGAGGACTGGGCCTTCTCTTACTTCTACTGGGGGAGTTCCAAAGCGTGGCAGAGGACTTTGAGAGCCGCTTGTTGATTATAGAGTCCACGTGTTTGGGCAGGTTTACTGCCGACACGGAGCACCTGCTCCCACCTGGAGGGGAAAAGACACGGCATTAGGGCCGGGCCAGACAGGAGCCAGGGGGGCACGAGGCCTTCCATGCAGGATGCTCCGCGGGCAGGTGGGAGAGGGAGGAGTGGGCAGGCCAGGAAAGGGGGGGAGGCAGACTTGGCTTTTGGAGGCAGGGGTGGTAGATGATCAGAGACAACCTGGATTGGGGGAGTTGGGGGAGCCGACGGAGAAGGAACAGAGGAAGGAGATGGAATAAAACTAGAGAAACTACAGCCTTCCTGGCCAGGAAGCCATTCCCTAAAGCTGGGTGCTACAATCCCCTCCCCCACCACACCCCCCTCCAGTTTTGGCACTTGCTGACATTGCCCAGCCAAGGTGCAGATGGTTACAACACCCCGGAACTGGGACAAACGCAGACATTCCTAAAAGGAACCCACAGTCAAAAGTCTCTCGCACAAATCCACATAGTCATACAGACCACAAAGACGACCACATGCAAGCACGGGCATAGAGAGAAACAGGCCTCCGGCATGCACACGTGTATGGGGACATGCACAGACACAAACACAAACGCTAAGGGACAGCGTGTCAGACCCAGATGCACACAGGCACAAACACATGGAGGCAACTTGGTCATATCTGTAACAGGTCGTGTTTGTTGGATGCTTACCATGTACCAGGCACTGTGCTGGGCACCACACACATGTTACCTCACTTGATCCTCCCAAACATCTACCTACAACCTCGGAGGCAAGTAGTATTGTTATCCCCATTTTACAGATGAAGAAAGTGAGACCGAGCAGTCGGAGGCCACACCACAAGTGCCAGAGCTGGGAGCCTACCCAATTCTGCCTGACTTGGGAGTCCTCGCAGAGGTACACAAGGCCCACAAACTCACCAGAGGGAAACACAACACACAGACCCATGAACACACACAACAAAAGACACACAGGTAGATCTCCTGAACCTTGCCAGACACAGACACCCAAACACAGGGGAACATACATGCCAACAAAGAATCAGACCAAAGTCCATGATGACACTACATGAAGAAAATTCAGAGAGAAAAGTTCACCTTCTAAGACAAGTACACAATGGGGAATAGTTTCTGTGAATATCTAGTAACTACAGTATACAAGTCCTTTTTAATATAACATCAACTAATTATTGACAGGACCAAAGAAGGCTAAAATGACAGAGGTTTGAAGAGTAACCTAATGAAGAGAATCCACTCTGACTTGGAGGAGGAACTCCTTAGGAGGGAAAATTCGGTTTACAGATCATTTCAGAAGTCACGTGAAGTCAGGCAAACCTGGCACAGGGAGCTGCCAGCCGCTCGCACGGACACGGCTCCCTCTCCCTCTCCTCTAGCTCAGCCCCAGCCTCACCCACCCACCACCAGCCTCTCCAGCCCACTCACTGGTCTTGTGTCCTGGGGAGCTGTGGTGCAGGGCCCCTGCCCAGGACCAGCGCTGCTGCCGGATTTCTGCCCATGTCTTCTTTACTGACCGCTGAATGGCTGCTTCATAGCGTTCCTGATGGGGAAGGGGAGAAGAGCGTTCAGGGCTATGAATGGGTCATCAAACCTGGAAGGAAGGAAGGTCCTTCTGTCCTGGGACAATGAGCACATACACAAAAAGATACAAAGGTACACCCCTTGAACCTTGCCTTACATAAAGAGACCCAAACACAGGGGAACATAAATGCCACAAAGAATCAGACCAGGGGCTCCCTGGTGGCATAGGGGTTAACAAGTTTCAGTACTGTCAAGCTATCATCAGACAGCAGTTGCAGCCATGAGTTAGATCCTGGGCCAGGGAGCTGACCCACACGGCACAGGGAGCTCTTCTGTCTCGCCCTCAGCACTATTTTTTAGTAGATCTGCCTGTTCTTTTTTAAGATTTATTTATTTATGCATACAGAACTGGGGTGCAGGCCAGAGGTGCAGGTGCGGTGAGAGGATTCACCAGAGATAGAGTGGGGAGCAGAACAGGCAGATCAATGAAGTACACTGCTGAGGGGAGCAGCGGGTAGGTCAGGAGAGGTCTGCCATGCCATGTGGGTTACCTCCAAGGCAGGGGTGGGGGGTGTGGAGGAGGGGTGAGGGCATGGTGGGGTGGGTGTGGGGTCGAATTAGCAGTAAAGCTGCTGCAGCTTGCTTACAGTGCTGAGATTTAACCCCTTGCACCACCAGGAAGGGCCAGATCCGCCTGTTCTGCTCCCCACTCTGTCTCTTGTGAATTCTCACCGCTGCACCTCAGACCTGTTCCCCAATTCTTGTATGCCTAAATAAAAATAAATCTTTTTTTTTAAAGATTTATTTGTGCATACAGAACTGGGGTACAGGCCAGAGGCTCAGGGGCGGTGAGAGGCTTCTGTGGGGAACAGAACAGGCAGATCGATGAAGTACACTGCTGAGGGGAGCAGCGGGCGGGTCAGGAGAGGTCTGCTGTGCCATGTGGTCACCTCCGGGGCAGGCGGGAATTGAACTCATGCGGAAGTGGCTTTAGATTCTCAGTGCTGTGCTTTAACCCGCTGTGCCACCAGGGAGGGCCAATAAAAATAAATCTTAAAAAAAAAAAAAAAATCAGACCAACATCTGTGATGGCCTACATAAAGAAAACTCGAGAAAAATCTACCCGAAGACAGGTAGCAGTGCTGCTGCTGGGTTTCTGCCCACATCTTCAGCAAGCTCCTTCTCCAGTCACACTGCCTCTTTGACCTCCTCCACCCCTAGCAGTTTTCCCTGACTCACTGTAGGTAACCAAAGTTCCAGAAACTTGGCTCTCATTAAAGGCTACTTACGACCAATCCCTTCCAACTGGTTCTTGGGGAGCTTTTCACTGTTCTTGAGTCATTTCCTGGGTGTATGAGCTGTTTCTGAGGATGTTTGGGACGCTCCCTGCCTGGGGAGCTGTGGTGGGGCCACATCTCCCTGGCACTGAGGGTCCTGAACTTGGGGTCACATTTTCCTGCCAGCCCGAGGTACCGGGTAGGGCCAAGCCACTTTCTCCTTCACTTCCTCCCTGGTATTAAACCACGACCAGGTCACAGTGCCTGGCACACTCCCGCAGACTCATCTCTGCATGCACAGACACACGGACACCGCACGCTGCTGGCAGTGCTCCGTTACAGGTGCACAGGGGGCACGGACAGAACCAAACGTGTCTGCAGCCGTCCAGGAGCCCCGACACTGCACACACAGGACACAAGTGTGGATGTGAACACAGTCGCTACAGATGAGGCAGACATGTATGCAGACACCCCAAGTTCGCCTACACAAGCCCACTTGCACCCAGTTAGAAACTGCACAGACCCACCTTGTTTTTCTCGAGCTTCTGTCGCTGCCGCTCCTCCAGGGCTGCACGGCGCTGCTCAGCTTTGAGTCTCTGTTCCTCTAGCCGCCGACGGCGCTCTTGCAGCTGCTTCTCCCGCAGGGCCTTGGCCTTCTCCTCCTTCTCCAGCCACACTGCCTTTTTGGCCGCTGTGGGGAAAGGAACACTGGGTGTGAGGGCTTCTTCCACGGGGAGGCCAGAGTGTCTCCTCCAAGTAGCCCCGGGACCTCGACCCCGGAGGGCCTTTCCCTGCCTGCTTCACAGTCTCCCCTCCCAACGGAAGGGCTTTCTGAAGACAGACACAGACTCAGAATGTGGGCTTCCCTAGTGGGCCCTGTTCCTCCCCCACTGGCTGCATGGGCTCTTGAAAGGAGTTCTTTTGTACCAGGTTACTGCCAGGCTCGGGGGCCTGCTGGACAGACTTCCATGCATGTGGTCTGGGATGAGGTAAGGCTACCCTACGAGTGTGTGTCTTAGGTGAATGAGTCCATCTTTCTGAGCCTCACCCTCAGAATGAGCTGAGAAGCCCAAATGGGCTAATGCATGTACTGCTCCTGGAACAGCGCCATAGCTAAGTGTCCAGAGTGTCAGTGTGAGTACAGGGTGTTCATGGTGACGACAGTGAAGATGTGATGGTGTTGCTCACTCACTCACCCAGGTATTTGGCCCGTTCTTCTCGCCGCTCCTTTGCCAGTTTGTGTCTTTCTCCTGCCTTCTTTACATCTTAGCAGAGGGAAAAGACAGATTTAGGGTCAAGAGGGTACTCCAAAAGGGAGTCAACCTCAGGGCCTTTCCCCAGACTTCACCCCCTCCCTTTCCCCAACTTCCCCAGGGCAGATTTCCTCCTGTGCACTGAATCAAGAGGTCTGGGCCCAAAACTAGAGCCCCATCATACATACCTTGCTTGGTGGGAGGGCTGTCGGAGGCTGGCACTGCCGTTGGGGATGGCTGGCTGCTTCTTCGGGGAGGCCTAGCATCCCGTGGGCCTGTGGCTGGTGGGGTGGGTCCCCTGATCTTCACTTCTGAGAAAGGGGACTCTTCCTGGTGGGGGGTTATAGGTCCGACCAACCCTAGGGGACTCTCTGGTTCTGGTGGGAGCTGCTTGGGGCTAGTGGCATTCTTCATGGCAGGAGGGGTATCTGGGGGTGTGTCAGGAACCAGGGCTGACATCGGTGCTGGTGGTGGCGGTGGAGAGGGGTCACCTTCTGGAGAAGGTCTTGGCTCTGAGGGGGTCCTGGCTGCCATCACTGGAAAACCAATAAAGGAAAAGTCAAATAAAACATCTGTGCTGCCAGTCAGCTTGTAGCTCTCTCTGTCGAACCAACTGACAGATCCACACAACATGCTTATTGAGTTCCTTCTGTATGCAGGTCCTGTCTGGGATGTAGTGCAGACGCCATGTGAGAAGACTGCCAGTCCCTGCCTCTGTGGAGCCGACGGCTAGCAGAGCTTTCAGACAGTGAGACAATTACAGTGCAGACCAGGTACTGTGTCTGGGGGAAACAGCAGGGATGGTTAACCGACACTGGGGGGAAAGGCTTCCAGGAAGAGTAACAACCAGTCTGAAGATCTAAAGGCTGAGCTGGTATTGGCAAACCAAAGATAGTTCTGTCAAAGAGAACAGTATTTGCAAAGGGGCCGACGGGAGCAGGGTGTATTGGAAGAATGGAGAAGACTTGAAGCACTGATGAATGAGGTTTCCACATCTGCCTCCTTCACCTTCCTGCTTTACCTTGGAGTCACAGTACCCAGCCCAAGGCCTGGTGCTCACAGGATGCCACTGCTGGCACACGGGACCGGCCAAGAAGGACATAGCATGGGCACAAGTGAAATGCCCAGTTTTAAAAATCCCCAGTGGGGTGGACAATCAATTCTGTCCACTTTGTAATCTTTGTTTCTTTCCCAACCACCCTCAATTTCTTCTGTTTAAACATTAGTATTTCAGGATCCCTGTAGGTGATACCAAAGTGCCGAGGAAGAAGGAGCATGTGGAATTCTGGGGCGGTCAGATGAGAGCCCAATTCAGACCTCGCCACCCCAAGACAGGAAGAGGGACCTGCTTCCCTGGTGGGTAACTGTGGGTACGTCATGCCACCTCTCTAAGACTCAGTTTTCACGTTTGTGAAATGGGGAGAATGAGCCCAGGCCAGCAGGGATGTCAGCAGTTTACACGCCAGCAAACACACCCCGTTCCCCTCACGGTGCTGCCAACATGCGGAACCCTGGTGCTGCCTGCTGCTGCCCTGTGGGCACCAGGCACACCAGTGGGGACTCCGGCACTGACCAGGGTGTAGGCAGCGGGGTCAGGGGCTGGGGAAGGTGAATCTGAAGAGGCAGTTTGTTCCTCCTGGGTGTCTCATTAGGTCCCGTGCTCTGGGAATGCTGGTCCTCTCAGGAGGCGACAAGCTCCCTGTCTGTGTGGTGACTGTGGGTGCGGGGAGGGGACAATCAAGGAGTTACCTTTGGGACACCCCAAGAGGACCTTTTTCAGGGAGGCAGGCGTCCAGTGGTTTCAGTATGGGCTTTGAAGGAGGCTGTCTGAATTTGATTTCTGGCATCCCCACTATCTGTGTGGCTGCAGGTGGTTACAGCTTCTCTGTGCCACAGCTTCTTTGTTTGAGAAAATGCACACGTGCCTACCTCCCTTACAGGATTGTGACTGGTAGTTAAAACACTAACCATTAACATTTAATTTGTTCACCTTTTTTTTATCTATTTCTCAAGTGCTTCCTATGTTCAAAGCATTTTACAGATTTTTTTTTACAGATTAGTTTTAATTCTCTCTGATAATACTTATGAAGGGGATACTATAAATATCTCTTTAACACAGGTGAAGAAAGTACAGCAAAATGAGGTGAAGTAAAGTAACTCGAGGTCACTCAGCAGGCTGGACTTGAACCCAGCATCTGCTCACCGGAGCCCATACTCTTACTCACTACACCCTCTTGCCTCTGTTTAAGGCTGTCTGAGGTAATATATATTATGTAACTGAACTATCTTGAGACTCACACTCTTTCCCCTCATTTCTTCCCTCTCAGCTTCCCAGGCTCCAGCAAGAGCCCCAGCTGAGGCCCTGTCTCCCCAATCTGCTGACCAACCATCTACCCAGCTCTCCCACACCAGCTCCAAATGGCCACCTGGTCACAGTGAGTCTGTCTCGCAGCTGCCTGCAGACTCTCGCTGTGGGTGACAAAGCCAGGGAGTGCTCACTACACACCAGGTGCAGAGAAAGGCCCTCTGCATCTCCTTCCAAGCTCATACTGCATCCTCGTGGAACTCCAAGGCAGTTTCATTCCTTTACACAGATGAGACGATCAAAGCTTGCCCCGCTCATTGTATGCAGTGGAGGTAAAGTTTGAGCCCATGACTGTCTGAGGCCAAATGCCCAGGTATGTAAGGACTAAACTAAAGGTTGAGGGTGAGGCCTGTTTATTGCCGTTCTCCTAGCACCTGTGTGTGCTACAGGTGTTGCAAGGAAGACTAGTAGGTGTATATCTGTCTACACTTAGGCAAATCACACCCACTAGGCAAATCGGTGAATCTCTAACTAGGTTCCACCTGCTGTGTGAGGGAGCCAGGAGGTGAGTCTATACCTGGGTGCCAGATGCAGCGGAAAGGTCTCAGGTCTCCAAGGACAGGTCTGAGTGGGGAACCTGGGGTCCGCTGTGGAACTTGGTCAAGCCTTGAACCCGTGAGCCTCACTGAGTTTCCTCACTGAGTTGTTGGAACCCACAGTAAGGATGCACATCGCCTCTGACACTTGGCAGGAAGAAGCTCACTAAGCAGCACTTAGCCCTTTTCACCATCTCTGCCTTAAGAGCCCAGCTGAGTCTGCCTTTAGCCCCACTGCCCTATGACACTGCGCTCCTCAAGGTCGCCATGAGCCCCTTGTTGCAGCATCCAGGAAGCGTTTCTCGGCCCTCGTCTTGCTAGCCCGTAGGCCATGTGCGACACAGCTGGGCCTCGATGCCCCTCAACACTCTCCTCATCTGGCCTGAAGGCAACATCCTCTCCTGATGGCCCTTCTGCCCCACTGATTGTGACTTCTCAGTTTTCCTTGCTGATCCTTCCTTAATTTCCCAACCTCTCAGCACCAGGGTGCCCCACAGCTGAGTGGAGGACCATGTCTCTCTTCTGTCTCCAGCACTCCCTTGGTGATCTCATCCAGACTCACAACTTTAAATACCACGGCGCTACCGATGACAACCACATTTATATCTCCAGTCTAGGCCTCTCCCTGGCATTCCAGTTTCACTCATGCTAGTCCCTACTTGACACCGCTGGACCTTACAAACACCCCAAGTTTAACACATCCAAAACTGAGCTCCTGATCTCCCCCCCCCCCAAACCCAGCAGTTTTCCCCATCTGTCTGTGGTAACCCTGTCCCTCCAGTTTCTCAGGCCAAAACCTTTGGAGTCTTTTCAGAACCTTTTCTTATCTCAAATCTGACATCTAATCACTCAGTAAATCTTTTTGGCTCTCTGTGCAAATACAGTCTGAATCTAGCCACTTCTCCCTCTCTCTACTTATATCTTCTTGGCCCAGCCACTCTCATCCCTTAATAAAAGGCTCCTGCCGCTACTCTTTCTCCCCTTTGGCCTTTCCTCAACAAGGCAGCAGCAATTTTGTTTTTTAAAGTAAGCCAGATCAATTTATTCCTCTGATAAAAATCCTCCAAAGATAACCATGTCACAGGGAGGGGAGACCAAAGGCATCACAATGGCCTCCAAGGTGCTCTGGGTCCTCCCCTCCAGCCCATGACCTCTTGGGCTGCATCCCCCCACCTCCCCTTCACCTCATGCCTGGGTTTCTCCAGCCACATACCTTAAATGTGCCAGGCACGCTCCTGCCTCAGGATTTTGTTCCCACAGCCAAGAACTCTCTGCCCCTAGCTTCTGCGCGCTTCACTCCCTCACCTCTTTGGGGTCTTCACTCCAATGCTATGTCTCAAAAGGAAGCCTTCCCTATTTAAAACTCCAACCTGCTACTGGAATCGCTCTCCTGTTTCCAACACTGTTTTTCTCCACCAGCCACTTTTCCATTTAAGCCCTTTTAACAGTCTCCCACAGTCAGAAGACAGTCTCCATGAAAGCACACGTTTTTGTCTATGTTGTGAGCCATTCCATCTCTAAGGCCAACAGAGCCTGGCACATAGGTGCTCCATAGGCATCTGTTGAATGGATAAATTGAGGAACTCCACCCTGGCAGATATCATCAGTGAAGTCTTCCACAGCTCTCCCCACACCCATTCCCACTCCTTCCCTTCACCAGGCAGCCAGAGGAGCTGTTTCCAGACAAACATGGTCATGGTAATGTTTCCCACTTGAAATCCTCTCAGTGGCTTCCCAATGCTTTGAAGAAAAAGACAAGACTCTTGAACCCAAGCTATGAGTTTGGCTTCGTGTGCTGGCTCTGTCTCCCTCTTTCTTTGCCTCCTCTCCCCACACCTCTGCTCCACGCTCCTCACTTTCTCTCCACACTTCAGCCACATTCACCTCTTTTCATTCACCCATGCTCTTTCCTGACACAGGACTTTTACACATGCATTTTCCTTCTTTTCTCGTTAATTTCCAGTTACCCTTAGCTTAGTCATCATTTCTTCAGGGAAGGCCTCTCTGATCAGGATAAAACCCTTCAGTCTGTACAGTCATTGCTTTGTGTGCTTCTTGTTTGGAGCGCTGTGACAACTGTAAGCTTCCCTGTGTGTTTCTTTTGTTACTGTCAGCCTTCCCATAGGCTGTGAGGAAGCCCTACCAAGGCTGGTCACGTCTGCTTTGCTCACCACTGCATCACCAGCAGTTACCAAGGTGCTAAGTACATGGAGACCGTCACTAAATGCTGTTAAAAGAGACTAAAGTGCTGTACTAGGAAGCCACCCTAGCCTGAAGCAGGTGTGTACTGAAGATTTTCTACTCTAATAAAGAGCAGATCCATGTGGCAGTTTATTGCAAAGAGATAAATAATTGAGGGGAAGCAAAACAACTTCATCCCAGTTAAACTTGGGCAGCTTGCTGGACTAAGGCATTCAGGTAGAAGTTAATAAAATAATGAGTGTTTACTTCAGCTCAACAGAAGAACTTATCGAGAAGCAAACAGGACACTGGGAACTCTTCTTTTGACCTGATGGACTATTGACCCTAAATACAAATATTTTCCTCAGAATTATGCCAACCCTGTTGAAGTGTGGTTAGGACAGTATTAACTGGAACAATCTGTATTAAGTCAAATTAATTTTTCGGGTGATTATCTATACAGTGTGGTTCAATCAATTT